ATGGCTGTGGCATATATGCAGGTACTGTCTCCTCTTCTCTTCTAGCACTAAGCTGCTGTGTCACATTCAGCAGAAGTACCTTTAGCTACCCAGGGCTGGCATGTGGAGCTGCAGAGCCCATGGGAAAGTGAAGTGTGGCAGTAACTACGGGGTGGAGGCTGCACAGATCCTGGTGCCTGTGGCACAGTCTGTGCTATATGTGAGGATGGGGAGTCTGGGTCTTGACATTTTTATTTCTGGAGCCTCTCCCTCTCCCAGTGGGTAGGGTTGTGATTGGGAACGTGGGGGTTGCTGGAAATGTATTGACAGGCATACCCCGTGGAGTGCTTTAAAACATCAGTGTTGAATCAGCTGTTGCTCTTCTCACTCCTGGGTGCTTCTTGACAGGTGGGCCTGGGCATCAGCACCCTTCTACTGTATGTCCCAACTCCTCTGGCTGCCACTCACCAGTCGGGATCCCTGGCACTGCTCACGGTGGCTCTGTGGCTTATGAATGAACTACGTCGGGTCCCAAAATAGCCTGGCTTCAACTGGGCTCTCCAAGGACGTCTAGTTCTTTTCCCCACTGCACTGATGTAGATGCTCCGGCTGATTGCTTTCCTCTGTGGTGACTTGCTGGGGTTCGAAGGGTCTCTGAGTGGGGAGTTCTGCTAGCCTCAATTTAGACTGACCAGTATTTGCTGCTTTGTTTACTGCGACAAATTCTTGACTGTAAGATCATGTGCACTTTTGATTGTAAACTTTGTAACGTAAATTAATTTGTTTATTAATCTGCTTGTCTTTGGCTGGATCCCTGGATCATGGGACTGGGAAGTGAGGGATGGACTGGGATGAATCTCCTCTGTGGTGGCAGCTGTTACATGCTGTGGCATCTTAGTTCTTGTCTACACTACACCGTTTTGTCGACAGAAGTCAGCTTTCATCAACAAAGCAGTGGAGGTGTACAAACTACAATGCTCCTTCTGCCGACAAAATTCTCCTGCTTTGCTGACAAAATAAAACCACCTCGATGAAAGGCATAGAGCTTTTTGTGGCAAAGTTATATTGACAGTGTCAGTGTAGACACTGCGCTTGTAAATAGCCTCGAAGAGGTGTCCCACAATGCCCTTGCTGACTGCTCTGGTCAGCAGTTCGAACTCTGCTGCCCTGCACCCAGGTACACAGGTATCTGCCCCTCCCCCTTTAAAGGCCCAGGAAATTTTGAAATTTCACTTCCAGTTTGCTCGGTGTGGAGAGCTCACATTGCATCTTCCCAGCTGACTATGGCGGCTCCACGCAGCAAACGCTCTCTCGCTTGGAGCACAGCTGAGCTGTTGGATCTGTGCAGTCCCAGCTCTGCTCCAGCTGTGGGAACTTTGATACCTATGGTCAGATTTCTCGTGGCATGTTGAATAAGGGCTATGAAGGGGACACACAGCAGTGCCGTGGGAAGATAAAAGAGCTGAGGCAGGTGCACCAGAAGGCAAGGGAGTCAAACTGTTGCTCTGGTGCTGTGCCAAAGACCTGCCGCTTCTATAAGGAGCTGGACGCCATCCTCGGCAGCAACCTCACCTCCGCCAAGAGCCCCGTGGATGCTTCAGTGGGGCTGGAGACAGCGGACTTAACCCCAAAGTCATGGACGAGAGGAGGTCAAGTTGGAGGACAACGTGAAGCACATGGCAGGGTCTTCTGTTGGCACAGCGAATCGGGACCTCTTATCCACTCCGGAAGGGTCTAGCCAGTCCCAGCAGTCCGTCTCTGGCACGTATGATGCAGAAGAGGAGAGCCCTGGTAAGTGATCTTTTTGAGTTGATGATGCTGTTATATGCGGTAGAGCTGACCTTTGCTCTGTATATTCCAGAAGTGGGAGAAGGGATAGAAATGTACAAGACTAGTGGTGTTTGCATGTGCTTCACATTCCCCTATGCAGCTAAGCAGTGCCGCAGAACTGTGTCTTAACGCACACTGAGATTTCACGTGAATCCTCCAGAGAGTTCTCTAGGAAACTTTCCTGGAGGTACTCTCGAATCCTCTGCTGAAGGTTCCTTGGCAGAGCTGCTTTGTTCCTTCCCACGTCATAGGAAACTTTCCCATGCCAATCAGCAATCACTTGTGCCAGGGACCAAAGCAGCACAAAGGGAGTAGCATAGGGATCCAGTCTGAAGCTGCAGGCATGCAGGAGATGCACCCTTGCATACCCTTAGGAGTGAGAGATTGGCTTCAGAGACCCACACCTGTGGAAAATGATGGCAGAATTTACAATATTGTCCTTAGCTGCCTGCAGTGATCCCCTTAAAAAACCACCTAAATCCTTTGCCTCATCTTGAGCCCCATCTCCCGGGCGAAACTCACTATGTTTAGGGCGTTTGCCAAGCTGTGTGCTTGCCAAGGGACAGTGAGAAACTGATTTGTATTTAAAAAGAGATGTATTTTAGGATAATTATTTAATGCTGTGCGTACACTAACAATCATACTTCTGTTTGTTTCTTGTGCTTCTGCAGATGTGGCCTTCAAGGGAACCCCTTATACAACGGCGCAGGGCCTCCGCCAGATAAGGAAGCGACTAAGGAGGACACGTTTCGAGAGGTGCTCCAATCCTCAGATGCTGAAAAACGCAGGGCATGGAGAGAGACTTTAAAGGAAAATTTTAAAATAGGCAGGAGAGAAAGGAGAGCCAGGAGCAAATTTTACTAGGCCAGATGCGGATGATAAAAGTGATGGGAGCAGCAAAAGGAGATGTTGAAGTTCCTAATCACACTGCAGGCAGAACACATGCATGCTCAGCTGCGCCCCCCCTCCCCCCCCCCAATACAGAACTGCTTTCCATGCCCTCCCACAAATTCCTTGCAACATCCTGGCCCATCTCGGTATCCTGTTCACTCCACCCCTTTAGACAGCTTCCAAAATGACTTACAGACAGCTATATGAGCCTATACTGCCCTTTTTGTTTGTGCTGGTAATTGGTATTTAATAAAAACATACACTCTGAAAGATAGCCAGTCTTTGTCTCCTACACATGGTGGTTGCTGCTGGAATAAATACACTGTGGCAATTTGATCATTTATCAGTGATCTGGATGATGGGATTAATTGCACCCTCAGCAAATTCGCAGATGACACTAAACTGGGGGGCGAGGTAGATACACTGGAGGGTAGGGATAGGGTCCAGAGTGACCTAGACAAATTGGAGGATTGGGCCAAAAGAAATCTGATGGGGTTCAACAAGGACAAGTGCAGAGTCCTGCACTTAGGAAGAATCCCATGCACCGCTACAGGCTGGGGACTGACTGGCTAAGCAGCAGTTCTGTAGAAAAGGACCTGGGGATTACAGTGGACGAGAAGCTGGATATGAGTCAGCAGTGTGCCCTTGTTGCCAAGAAGGCCAATGGCATGTTTGGCTGTATTAGTAGGAGCATTGCCAGCAGATCATTATTCTATTCGGCACAGGTGAGGCCACACCTGGAGTATTGTGTCAAGTTTTGGTGTCTCCCCCCCCCCCCCTTACAGGAGGGATGTGGACAAATTGGAGAGAGTCCAGCAAAGGGCAACAAAAATGATTAGGGGTGGCTTCCACACAGCAATGCCATATGCTTCACCACCACGAGGGCAGGTCTTGTTTTAGTGTCCTTGTGCCAACGTGCTGGGGTGAGCTCTGCACAAAGTTCCAGGTAGGTGCCATGCTACTACTCAATGCTTGTTTCTTGAGCCCAAAAGCGACGGTACACTGCGTGCAGCTGTTCTGGAAATGCCAAAAGTAATCTGATGTTTCTTTCCATGGCACACAGCCGGTCAGGCACCTCTGATTCCTGTTCAGTTTAGGAGGACATGATATATTACATGTCCAGCTGTGATGTGTTCGTAACAGTGACTACAACAACAGTTGTTTAGTCTGCAGAAGAGAAGAATGAGGGGGGATTTGATAGCTGCTTTCAACTACCGGAAAGGGGGTTCCAAAGAGGATGGATCTAGACTGTTCTCAGTGGTGGCAGATGACAGAACAAGGAGCAATGGTCTCAAGTTGCAGTGGGGGAGGTTTAGGTTGGACATTAGGAAAACCTTTTTCACTAGGAGGGTGGTGAAGCACTGGAATGCGTTACCTAGGGAGGTGGTAGAATCTCGATCCTTAGAGGTTTTTAAGGCCTGACTTGACAAAGCCCTGGCTGGGATGATTTAGTTGGGGATTGGTCCTGCTTTGAGCAGGGGGGTTGGACTAGATACCTCCTGAGGTCCCTTCCACCCCTGATAGTCTATGAACAGTGACTGTTGAAAAAGGCAGAGAGGCAGTTGGAAGCCCATGGAATGATGGGATGGAAAAACTGCATCATGGGATGTGGCACCTGCGCCCATGATGCACTGCAATCCACTACCGTCCCACGACGCCTAGCTGCAGAAGATGGGGAGCGGCACCGTGCGATAGCTACCCACAGTGCACTGCTCTCGCTGTCGGTGCTAGGGCACCAGCGGGAGGTGCTCTGCCCACAGCAGTGCTGGGAGAACGTGCACAGGCCATGTCATTAGACGGTGTTTGAGTGTCAGCGTAACGTGCTTTGACAAGGCCTCGGGCTCGAGCTCTCCCGGCTGCAGAAAGACCAAGTCACGGGTGAGGCCTGGGGGACCAGATGTCCTGATATTTGGGGCTTTTTCTTACATAGGCGCCTATTACCCCCCCCCCCCCCATGCCGCCCCGCCCCCTGCGAACAACAGCGGCCGCCCGCAGCTCCCAATGTGGGGCGGGGCGAGCAGCAGGGAGCCCTCCCGGAGCCGGCACTGCGCACGCGCTGTCAGCGGGGGCGGACGCGCAGGGCCTCGCCCCGTTGCCCCCTAGCGGCCGGCTCAGGCGGCTGCAGCCCCGCGCTCACGTCACCGTCCGCAGGCCGGCAACTGGCCAATGGAGGCGGCCGCCGTGGGCGGGGCGGAGCGCCCGGGCTAACGCGGAGTGGTCTCCGAGTGCGGCAATGGGCGGGAGCGAGCGGCTGCGTGGGCCAATGGGTCTCGAGGGGGCGGGGCCGCGGCTCGGTACGGTGGCCGCGCTGGTGTGGCGGAGGAGGCTCGGTTTGCTCGCCCGGCCGCCATGACCGCGCACAGCTTCGCGCTGCCGCTGATCCTCTTCTCCGCCTTCTGGGGCCTCGTGGGCGTCGCCGCGCCCTGGTTCGTGCCCAAGGGGCCCAACCGCGGGTAAGAGCCCGGGCCCGCCCCCGCCGCGGGACCCCGCCCGCCCGGCCGCCGCCGCTAACCGGCCTGTCTCTCTCCCCCCCCCGCAGGGTCACCATCACCATGCTGGTCACCGGCGCCGTCTGCTGCTACCTCTTGTGAGTGAGAGCGTGAGTGCGCGCGGGGCGGGGCGCGCGGGCGTCCCTCGGCCGGGGGGGGGGGCGGCGAGTGTCCTGAGGGGCGCGAGCCCAGCTGGGAATTGTGCCAATCCCGCGCTCGGCGCTGCTGGGTGTGTCGGCCCCCGCCTGGCTCGGGGTGTCCCCTCCGCAAGGGGTGCGGGGCCCCCCCCGCCGTGCCCGGCCCCCCCCCGCCCCCCCCCGCGCCCTGCTCCCCCGGGCCCTGCTCCCCCTGCCCGGGCCCCCCCACACCCTGCCCGCCGCGCCCTGCTCCCCCGGGCCCTGCTCCCCTGCCCGGCCCCCCCACGCCCTGCGCCTCCACAGCCCCCCCCACGCCCTGTTCCCGCGCCCT